GCTGGTAATGCTTCTCAATACCAGTTTCTGGAAATCACGGGGTGGGGGTGGGGATAATGTTCTTGCACTCAGGTCGTGTTTGAGGGCTTTGCACAGGCACCTGGTTGGCCACTGTGAGAAAGGATGCTGAACTAGATTTGCCATTGGCCTGGTCCAACAGGTGGCTCTTACGTTCTTAAGATTGCTTTGCAAAAGAAAATGTGTATATTAGATAAAATTGCATATAAAAACAATGTATGTTAGGAAAAACTGCACTGAAATGCTAATGAATATTCACAAGGAATTCTTAAAAAAAAAAACAAATTCGCAAGCAGATGTCAAAAGATTGTCAAAAGGAGAAACCATAGCTGTCAACTTTGTCCATCCTTAGCTACGAGAGTCTTTAATTTTGATAGGGAAAAGTGGAACATGGCCAACATTAATTTAACTGTCTCCCGTTTCTCTGGTTGTTGCTGCTGCTCTAATGAAAATCAGAGCCCCTCAGTTGCTTGAAGTCAACATTTTTTAAAAATTACATAACTCTGATGATGGATTCCCTGTGTTGCACGCGCGTGAGAGAAAAGCTTTTGAGTGTTACATGAACGTGTACTCATCTGGGATCTAAATCAAGGCCTGGTGGGTTTCTGCGCATGAATGGCACACGTGTTTGTGAGCGTGCTCAAACCCAATGCAGTATGACCTTGTGCGTTGAGTCCTAGACTGTTTATGTCTCAAAAAACAACCTCCCCACTCACCCCACCTTCCCAAGGCTATAAACACTTCCTACACAGTCCCACTCTCCAGAATTTGCGGGTGGGGGTAGGGGAACAACGTAATCCAAGTTTTAAAAAGAGACATATGATTCACTCTTGTCCCTGGCATAGAGCAACAAAGAAGGAGGAAACATTCAGGAAAAGCATAAACAGACAAGGATTTACAAGGGAGAGGGTTTATGTGTTCAGCCAGAACACTGCCCCGGGTGGTGTTCACAACCTAAAATACTTTGGGCTTCGTAGAACGCTGAGAGGGCTTGTCCACGCTTCTGCTTCTCCGAGTGCTTTCCCCCTTGTCCTGCGCATTCGGGGCACAATTTTGAACAGTTTTGCCTTTTCTTTGGCCGGAAAACCTGTTCCTTAGCAATAAATTGGAACAACAGCAGTTCATTACTTGTACCCCTTGCATCTGACTGGGTTGCCCCAGTCACCCTGGGCGGCGTACAACAGAATATAAAATAATATACAATACACCAGACATTAAAAGCTTCCCAATACTGTGAAAATCCAATTGCCGTTTGCTCCAATTCAGCACTAAACTGCAGGTTTTCTCTGCAGGAAAGAGATTTTAAGTCGAACTAATACATGCAGGGGTTAAAACCATAGAGTAAGCTGTCCTGCTGGGCTTACCTTGGGAGGAACCAGGCCTTCTTCTACCCAAGAAGCTCAGCATGTAAAGAGGCCTGAGATGGTTGTTCCAAGCTCAGATTGCATGGCTCTAGCAAGCCGTTATTGTGTTCTATCTATACCAATAGAACTTTCAACACTGAAACTAAGCCAAGTTGTATCGCCTGTGTTTTCTGACTGATGTATAGAAAAGCACATGAACCTGACCTTTGAAGAGTTTGTAAGTAAACCATTTTTAACTTACCAACCTTGCATTTTTCTATGATGGGGGGGACTGTTTTGGAACTCACAATGGCATATTATAAAAGGTCTAACAGCTGATATTCCCATGCTTTCCTTTGCTGCATATTTTCTGATTTTAACTAGTTGATGGGGTTCTCTCACCAAATAGTTATTGTCCCAAACCTGGATCTTGGCATCCAGGGAATTCTCCTTTTGTATACCCTGTCCTCCCTTTGCCACCCACACCTACTAAGTGCTCTTGGTTGAATGTAAAAAAATGGGTTGCTTAATGCTGTTCCTGCTATGCTGTCTTTCTATGGGCAGGGAGTTTCGGCCAGACAGCCTGTCAAAAAGAGGACTGTCTTCTGTAAAGCAGGAAACAGGTTCACCCACATGTAGATGGGATAATGAAAACACTACCACAGACCCCTGTGAGGGACTCTCCAATGCCCTGATGCTGAGCAAATACATCTCCAGCCAGGGTAGCAAAAAGGCTCCCCAAACCCTGCTTTAGCTCTTCTTCCAGAAGTATCTTCAGCTTTCAAATGCCTTGGCCCAAGTTTGCATAACAAAGTGGATAATGAACAGACCTGGCTCCGTTATTTATTTCATCTCTTATTTCAGAAGTATCTTCCATCTCTTCAGTCAGTAGATCCAAACATAGTGGCTCAAGTTTACATTACAAAGTGGATAAGGAGCAGACCTGGCCTAGGCTATTTGCTTCACAAAGAAGCTAATCTGACCGTTAATGGTCTCTTTTTCTACCTAATTAAGTCTTAAAGCTTATAACCCTCCAGTGTTTTTGCCTGACTGGGATGTCTTCAAACTCTGATAATGCTCCTTCCTTACCTGACTGGAGAGGTGTGTGTACAAACTGGCCTCTTGTATAAGGGTATATTTTAGGTTTGTTGACCAATCCACTTTTGCCTCTGGCATTGCCCGCCACAGACATGTGCCCCCAGGAAGGTTACCCAGAAAGGACTGTGGCCTCTAGGAATAAAAAGGTTTTCCACCCCTGCCCAAAATGGTTTGGGGCAGTGCTATTTTTCTGGAAAAAAGAGGCGCTGGATCTATCCATGAACACCTCCCTTGTTCTGTTAAAATGGCAGTGGCACCTGAGTTCCGTTTGGTGAGTTCTGGCTGAAAAAAGTCCTGGTTTGGGGTCAGGCTGCTCACACCAGCCTGGCCTGTACCTTACAATCCACATCAGGCGCCCTGCTTGTGGGTCTGGCCTGTCTGTGAGAGCAAGTTGGTGCCAAAGAATCCTGGAGGAACGACAATTCCCAACACCCATAACCAACTACAGTTCCCAGGATGCTTTGTGCAGGGCAGATGTGCTCTAAGTGTGTGTCACAAGGTTTTCCCCGCTGACTGAAGGTGGTGTTGAAACCAACAATGAATGTGATTGTGCTGTGCAACAGTTTGCCGGCTGTTGCTCTGCCTGAGTGTGCCACCGCACGCAGATGTGCCTGATCTGTCCGAAGGGGAACTTGTTGCGTATGTTTTCATGCCAACCATTTCCTGCCAACAAGAAGCAGGAATTTCACAAAGACGTGTTGCCTTGTTTACATCACCTTCGATGCCCGGGTCAAAGAGGGCATTACTGACGATGGTGTGAAGAAATTAAACCTCATCTGAGCATCCATGCAAATTTACTTCTTATTTACAGAGGTCTGCATTAAGACATCTAAAGGAACACAGGAAGCTGTCTTATACTGAGTCAAACCATTGGCTCCCTATTCCCCTCACAGATGTACAGTTCCGGTTTAACCGTTAATCCCTCTCCCCAAGGAACTGTGAGAATTGTAGGTCTGTGAGGGGATTAGGGGCTTCCTATCAACTCTCAGCATGGGACGCGGGTGGCGCTGTGGGTTAAACTACAGAGCCTAGGACTTGCCAATCAGAAGGTCGGCGGTTCGAATCCCCGCGACGGGGTGAGCTCCCGTTGCTTGGTCCCTGTTCCTGCCAACCTAGCAGTTCGAAAGCACAAAGTGCAAGTAGATAAATAGGTACCGCTCCGGCGGGAAGGTAAACGGCGTTTCCGTGCGCTGCTCTGGTTTGCCAGAAGCGGCTTAGTCATGCTGGCCACATGACCCAGAAGCTGTACACCGGCTCCCTCGGCCAATAAAGGGAGATGAGCGCCACAACCCCAGAGTCGGTCACGACTGGACCTAATGGTCAGGGGTCCCTTTACCTTTACCTATCATCTCTCAGCACCCTTAACCAACGACAGTTCCCAGGATTATTTGGGGGGGGGGGACATAACTATTTAAAGTGGTATGAAGCAGGGTGCAGGTGGGGTCCAAAACTCTTCCCTGCTAATTCCTCTCACAGGACTACAATTCCCAGAGTTCCCTGGGAAGAGGTATGGACTGTAAAACCACTTGGGGAATTGTAGCTCAGTGAGAGAAACAGGGGTCTCCTAAACGCTCTCAGCACCCTTAACAAACTACAGTTCCCAGGATTTTTGGGGGGAAAGCCATGGAAGTTGTATGATACTGCTTTAAACACATGGTGCAGATGGGGCCAAGTTTGACTCAGAACCCAAGACAGGACAGGCCTCCCTCTGGGAAGACTTTCTCACATCTGCTTTTTGAGGTAGGCAGGCATCCAAGAGATGCTCAGGGAGGGAAAGTCCCCACCTCCTCAACCCTACCATATTCCCAGAGGCCTATGGGTACATGTTGTCCCAGCTAGGCCAAGAGGAAGGCACTCCCAAATTCCCACCGTTCCCATGCCTTCCTTCAACAACGCACATCTGGAAAACACTGAGTTTTCCAGGACACAGCTCAAAAGCTTGTGAACTCTGCCAAGGACAGCCGCCAACGGAAACTCAAGTCCTGATGCAACAACACGTGCGTGTGTGTGTCAGGAAAGAGTCAACCACGTTCCAGTGACTCCGCATTCTCCAACTTGATGCCCTCCAGATGGTTTGGACTACAACTCACCAGGCTGGCTCTGCCTGATGGGAGTTGTAGTTCCAAAACATTGAAAGGGATGGGCAGCAGGTCAGGTAAGGCTGCCATAACTCATCTGAGGTGCTCTGGAAAGAAAAGATAAATAAAGAACGAAGGCATGCCAGGAAATGACGGTTCAGCAATTTACTCTACTCTGATTCCTCCAGCGACAACCAACTAACACCAATGTGCAGTTATGAGAATATCTGGCTTGGAGTGGGCGTCGAAAGAGCAAATCTGCCATTTTGTTTTTTCTAATTTTTCTAATATTAAATTCAGTTCTCCCCATTTCAATATCAGTTTGTACTCATTAAAATCGATCAGCATTTTTAGTCGAATTCCTCCTAATGCACACATGCTGGTGTGCAATTGTGTCTAATATAAGCATTTGTGTAAATCAATTTCCTCTAATACAATGCATTTATAATGCTCCCCCCCCCGCTACAGATATATGCATTTTAGGCACCCTTCAATCTAGCATAAGCATTTTTCTACACATGACTTAGAGAACTGCTCTGCAAAATTCAGAGAAGAGCAAATTTCAAACAATGGGACTGTTTTTGAGCTTTGTTTTGGGAAAGTTGCAAATTAGGTAGGAACATAGGAAACTCCCATATACTGAGTTAGACCAATGTCCCATCTAGCTCAGTATTGCTTACACTGACTGGCAGCAGCTCTCCAGGATTTCAGACCAGGAGTCTTTTCCCAACTGGAGATGCCAGGGATTGAACCTGGGACCTTCTACCCACCAAGCGGAAGCTCTGTCCACTGAGCTGTGTCTCTTCCCAGAGGTAGATTCGCCTATAAACGTGAACTGAATCAAAATTCTCCCCCACCACTAGTTGTAGATATCTCTGAACTTTTGTACCTCTGTAATGTTGTTTTATTTTTTAAAAAACCTCTGATAATAAATACATAAATAAACATAGATTCTTGCAACATCTTAAAAGACCGTCTTCACATCCCTCCCAAGAGCCGTCATCCTTTTCAAGAGAAGAAAGAATTGGAAATGACAATTTGGCAGGATCTGAATACATGGCTTCTTCTTGAGCTGACTGAACTGGTCCATGGGGCTTTGACTGGGCACTTGGGAGAGTTAAGAGTGACGGTGACACAAGTTCTTTGCAGTCCTCTCCCCAAAGGGGGTATGTAGAGTACAGGGTTGAGCCAAGACATTTTGCTGGAGAAGAAACAGTATGTTGTAAGATGGAGATGAGGAACTTCAGGCTCGGAGTCTGAATTGGCCCTCCAACTCTCTCTCTCTCTCTCTCTCTCTCTCTCTCTCTCTCTCTCTCTCTGGCCCTTGGAAGTATCTCAGGCCACACCTCCTCTCCCCAGGCCACACCCTTAATTGGCCCTGCGTCCAATCCACATTCAGAATCAGATTGGACTCAACGTTGAGCATTACTTCAGCACTAGTGACAATGGAACAGTGTTGTTCATGACAGGCCCAAGGACATTGGGTCCTGTCCTCTAACATTTTGCTGCTGCTTCTTAACTGCCTGAATCCGCGGCCTCATTCTGCCTAATGGCAAGTCCAGCCCTGGTAGACCACAGTTCAAAATGGTGGTCCAGATCAGATCTGTCTGTGCACCCTCTCTCAGGCCATGAAAGTTCAGGGGAGTGGACTGGTTCAAATTCCCCAGCACTGAGAGTTCAGAATCACTCCCCTTCCGCCCCAGAGGCAGCAGGAATAGAGCTGGGCGAAGGTCCATGAAAACGACAGACCCTTTGAAGAAAACATCTCTGAAGAAAACAGTTGCCATCTCTGTGTAGACAGCATAGATGGCACCAGTGTTGTTTTTCTGAGAAAAAGAGGTGCCGGAACTCACAATGAATGCCTCGCTTGTTCTCTTATAATGGCAATGGTGCCCACCTGAGAGGTACCAGAACTGAGTTCCAGCGAGTTCCGGCTGAAAAAAAGGCCTGGATAACACAAAATCGCTGCCCCTTCCACCCTGGAGGCAGCAACAAACACAGCATTTTAAAAGCAATGGCGTCGAGTGAAGCTCCCCCAAAGAAACAGAGCATCGAACTCTGAAGCAACAGAGATGCCATCTTGCCAGTAGACGCCAACACTCTGCTCAGAGCTGCTCCTCACTGCGGAAAGAGCTGTTTGCCGCTCCGTCCAGGCCTGGCTCAGCATCGAGGATGTTGTCCATCGACCCGCGGTGAGGATGCTTCCTCCTGTTGCGGACGCAGAAATGCCAGGCAAAGGCGGAGATGACCACGAGGATGAGGGTGGCAGCCAGCCCCGCAGCTATGTAGGCGTAGGGCATTTGGTGGGCAGGAGTCCGGATGAGGCGGCACGGCCCGTGCTGCCGGGTTCCATCGTCCGTGGGGCTGGATCCGGCCCGGTTGGATGCCACGATGCAGAACAGGTACTCGTGATCTGGCAGCAACCCTGAGACAGCCGCCAAGCGGAAAGTGTTGTTGAGGGCCGGGCCGGAGAGGAAGTCCCCGCCGACAAGCTGATAGTGCAAGCGATATTCCTGGACTGTGGAAGAAGGCGCACACCAGCGCATGCTCGCTCCCACCTCGCTTGTGTGGACAATCTGCAGGCGGGGCGGCTCGGGGGGCACATCTGGGCCGGTGACCCCCGGGCACAAGCACCCGCTAGCCCTACTCAGCTCCGCGCAGGGCACTTGGAGGTGCTGGCAGGGGTTGTATTTGCAAAGGTGATGGGGCGGCTGCGGGAGGCCGGGCGTCTGGGGCTCTGAGGTCAGAGGGTAGTCGTAATCGTCGTAATGTTGATCGTCAGGATAATCCAGAGAAGGTTTGACCGGAGCAGGTGATGAGGTCCTGTCCTTGCTCACCGCTGGGGCGTTGCTCCCTGAGGGATGAGGGAAGAGGGGGTTCTCTTTCAGGGGCACGGGCAAAGGGTGCCCCATGCTTGTCGGTGATGCCTGGGAGCAGAGGGTCAGGATCCAGGCCGCTACCAGAAACAGCCCTGGGATTTGCATGGCTCCTGTTAACAGATGGAAGAGAAGCACAGTAGAAGGGGGAAATAGGGGTGTTTTAATTTATTTTAATAACAACAATAATAAAAATTATTTATATGCTGCCCTCCCCAGCCAAAGCCAGGCTCAGAGCGGCTAACAACAGTAAAAGTAACACAGTTTACATAAAATCACAATCAATTAATTGAAATTCATTCTAAAATCAATTCAGAATCAAATTAATGGCAACCATTGGGCTACAGTTCTATGAAAATTACCAATATCCCCCCTCAACTATTTTTTTTCTAATCAATTTTTTCAACATATAACAATGTCACACAGATAAATAATGAAATATCCCACCCGAACTCAGAAGCTGGTGTTTATGCAATACATAAACAACCAAATACTTATCCCAAACTACTATTTGTACAGAAGGCGATAAGCAGTTTAAGTGAATCAAAAGTAATAGTTTTTTAGAGCTGTTTTTAAATGGGAAGCTGTCTTATACTGAGTCATAGAATCAACATAGAGTTGGAAGGGACCACAAGGGTCATCTAGTCCAACCCCCTGCAATGCAGGAATCTTTTGCCCAATGTGGGCCTTGAACCCACAATCCTGAGATTAAGATGCTCTGAGGTTTCACAAACCCAATTTACAAAGCCCTCCACAACTTGGGTCCAGACTATCACAGAGACCATATATCTCTGCCCAACCACAGAGATATTTGAGGGAGTCTCGGTTAGTGGTCTACCACGGTTCAGAGACATGGCTCGTAACTACCAGAAGCGGTGTGTTCAAAATTGTGGGTCCAATCCTGTGGAACTACCCTCCTGACTGAGATAAGAACCCAGCCTGTTCCCTGCTGAACTGCAGGTGCTTGACAATGTCTTTCCAATTTCAGCATTTTAAGGTTCTTCTCCATTTCTTGGGTTTATTTCAATTGTTCTTATTCTTTGTACAGTGTTCTTTAAAAAGTATGCACACTGCTTATAAATTATAAATATTAAGTCGTACAGTGGTACCTCGGGTTAAGTACTTAATTCATTCCGGAGGTTCGTTCTTAACCTGAAACTGTTCTTAACCCGAACCACCACTTTAGCTAATGGGGCCTCCTGCCGCTGCTGCACCTCCGGAGCATGATTTCTGTTCTCATCCTGAAGCAAAGTTCTTAACCCGAGGTAATATTTCTGGGTTAGCGGAGTCTGTAACCTGAAGCGTATGTAACCTGAAGCGTCTGTAACCAAGGTACCACTGTATATAAATACAGATCTAAAATAAAATACCCCCCCTCTGCATCTTTCTGTGTCAGCCCATATGGTGAAACAAAAGAATTCCTAAACCACCAGATCTGACATTACGCATTACTGTTTTGAACGAGGTGACTGCTTGTGCGTAGCCAGATTTATGCATGCTTGTGGCTGGAGTCAAGGTCTGAATCAGAAGTGGTAACCCACAGGATGAGGAAACCTGTGGCCCTCCAGATGTTGGCTGCGTACACACCAGACATTTAAAGCACCTCACAAAAAGAATTATGGGAATTGTAGTTTACCCCCGTAGAGCTACATTTCACAGCACCCTTAACAAACTACTGTTCCCAGAATTATTATGATTTTGAGGGGGTGGGGAATGTGTTTTGCATATATTTTAAATGCACAGTGCATTCACAGCCTAAGTTGGGGGGGATGAGTGAGACGAGGGTGCTGCTCTCCCTTTGCAAACGCTGATGTGCTGGATCAGACCAATGGTGTATCTAGTCGAGTGCCCTGTACCCAGAAGTGACCTGCAAGATGTGAAGGCAACAGACCTCATCTGATCTGCCTCTGCTGATTTTGGAAGTAGAGTTCTCCTGAACCGGAGGGTCCATCACTGCCTCCTACAAGATCTAGAGCAAGGAGACGGGGAACTCAGGCCTGGAGTCCAAATGTACCCATCCAGGTCTCTCTGCCAGGTTCCTCAGGACCCTCTCCACATCCCTCCGGAGGCTGCACATACCCCATGCATTTAAAGATTGCCTCAAATAATCCTGGGAAATATAGTTTGTTAAGGGACTGTATATCTGTGTGGGCTGAACTACAGTTCCCAATATTCTTGTGGCGTGGTAGTGCATGTGTTTCAAATGTATTGCATGTATATATCCTGAGTTGGGCCCTTCAACAGCCTTCCTTAAGTGTTTCTACCAAGCTGGAATGTGCCCTTGGACTTTGACCATACCTTTTCCTTGCTCGGATAGAGCATGTGTACAAAACAGATTACCGTATTTTTCGCTCTATAAGACGCACCAGACCACAAGACGCACCTAGCTTTTGGAGAAGGAAAACAAGAAAAAAAATATTCTGAATCTCAGAAGCCAGAACAGCAAGAGGGATCGCTGCGCAGTGAAAGCAGCAATCCCTCGTGCTGTTCTGGCTTCTGCGCAGCCTGCATTGGCTCCATAAGACACACACACATTTCCCCTTACTTTTTAGGAGGGAAAAAGTGAGTCTTATAGAGCAAAAAATACGGTACTATACAAAGATAAAAGTTACCTTTCTTGCTATGCCGACTCTTTACTTCTGGCCCTTCCCGCTGCTGTTATGCAGGCCCCCCCCCCAAGATGGGAATGTGACCCCCCCAAACAAACAAACAAGATCCCCCACCCCTCCTTTACCCCAAGAGGAACGCAACTTAAGAGGAGAGGAGGAGGAGATGTGGCTCAAGGGGGCAAATTCACTCACCTGGATGGCGGATGTCTGCTTTTGGTTGCTAGGCAACAGGCTGCCGGGAAGGGTCTTTGCAGCAAGTTATTACCCAAAGGATTCAAGGTAGCAGGAACCCCCTTCGATGAAAGAACTCCGATGGAGCTGTTTCCAGGAATAACAGGACCCACTAGGCAAGGACCAAAAGCCTGTGGTGCTGAAATGTGGTGTGTGTGTGTGTATCCAAAGCTGCCTGTATGGGATGGGGTGGCGTGGGGGCACAATAATTGCTGCCTCAGAGCTGAGGAGCAATTTGTGGTATCCGTGGAAATGATAAGCAAGAGCTCCTTGCCTGCTGGGAACGAGCAAAGTGGTGGCCTCTTGCGAAGCCCAAAACCCAAACTTTTATATCCTCCTTGTGGGATGATCTCATCGTCCCCCCTTCACAACCTCTTCCTCCCCCCCCCATCTCCTTTACAGCTGGGCCCAGCCAGTGGGAATGCGTACAAGGCAGCTAATGGGCGTGGAAAATTCTTTGGCTTGACAGGGACCCCCCTGGCAGGTGGCTGGAAAGAAAACAAATAGCGCCTTATAAGGGCTATTCACGTCTTTCTCGGAAATCCCTCCTCTGGGTAAGAGAGGGAATAAATAAGAGTTGAGGGGAGAGAGAGAGAGAAAGTAAAAAAGACCTGACAGGAGACAAGGAAGGGTGTGTTTGTGTGTGCTGTGTCACAATCCCAAGAGGAGGGGGGAAAGAACTATTCTTACATGGGCAAACTGATTCAGGATACTCATCCCAGACAGAGGGAGAGGCTTTTTTCCTGCTCCCAGACCAGCTCTGCCCTGCCTGGAGCCATACACTCACCCAGGTCTCAGCCACTCATTGGAGCATCAGCACAGACAAAAGACACTTTCCAGGGATCATCTTACACCCAAAGCAGTGCCAAAAAAACCATGATTTACAATGCAGGGGGGGGGGGCCCTTCCAGATGTTGTTAGACTCCAACTCCCAGCCAATGGTAAGGAATTACAGTGGTGCCCCGCAAGACGAATGCCTCGCAAGACGAAAAACTTGCTAGACGAAAGGGTTTTCCGTTTTTTGAGTCGTTCCGCAAGACAAATTTCCCTATGGGCTTGCTTCGCAAGACGAAACGTCTTGCGAGTTCTTGCGAGTTTGTTTCCTTTTTCTTAAAGCCACTAAGCCGCTAATAGCCGTGCTTCGCAAGACGAAAAAACCGCAAGACGAAGAGACTCGCAGAACGGATTAATTTCGTCTTGCGAGGCACCACTGTATGGAAGTGGAAGGCCACAGGTTTCCCACCCCTCACTTATATTATCATATTTGCTTTCTTTCTTCGTCTTCCGTTCCAAAAGGATCTCATCCTCTTTTTCTTTACCGCTGGGCTTTCTTCCTATTTTGCAAGCCGAAGGACTGAGGCCAAGGACAGCGAGGCTCAAGAAGAGACCACACATGGAGACCAATAGGAAATAAGCTTGCCACCTCCCCCATAAAACAGGCCTCTTACGGTTTTATGAGCCGCAAGGCAGGCAGATGTTCAGCAGGTGAAGCCACATAGCACCCCCATGTCAAGAGAAGCTTATTCTGTTGAATTTATGGCCTGTGCAAAGCTATTTTGATGTATTTTCTTTGTTGGAAGCCGCCCAGAGTGGCTGGGGAAACCCAGCCAGATGGGCGGGGTACAAATAATAAATTATTATTATTATACTATTAAAGACATGGAAGCTGTGTGTGTGTGAGAGAGAGAGAGACTGAGAGAGAGACAGTCAATGAGTGAGTTAATGAGTAAGAGAAAGAACATTAAAAAGCAGTGATGGGACGCCCGGCGCGAAGTGTCTCCGCTCCACACCGGCCAACAGGAAAATATCTAAGAGCCAAAAATCCTGCATTCTCTCGTTTATTAATGAGGTCATTCCAAGAGCAGAAAAATTGAAAAGGAAAATAAAATAAAGACAATGCATTTATTGGATCTTAAGAAATATTGTACAAAACAGTTGTGCTGGAGAGATGCTGCTTGATGTACCCATCCGTGTTTTAAAACAACTTATTGTTTTACTTTTATTTTCCTAATCGACAGCAGACAGAAAATCCCCCCCCCCGTTGACTGAAGTTTCGATAACCCGCAGTTGTCTTCCATCATAAGCAGTCAAAGATCTATGACTGACGCCGACGTACGCAAAAGACTTCACCTTCTTTATTTTAACACAGAGTATAATTCCCATTTTAGAGGTGGGAGAACTGAGGCCACAAAGACATAACTGCATTTTGAAATCCTGGCGGACAGGGATTAAAATAAAGGAGGTACACAACGTTCTTAGGAATACAAAATATGTCTTCTTAGATTCCCTCCATCACTTCCTAGAATGAGGTGTCCCTTGTATACCTCATGCTACCTTTCAGAGCCCCACTGTGCAGAGTTTTGAGGTAAGATAGTGATGTTAATTTACTTATTCCGTATATCCCACCCTTCTTCCAGAATGAGCCCAGGTTGGCTCATACACCCATATGAGGGGGGGGAAAATATATTTTAAAGCCTTCTCAGAAACAGTTAAAAACATATTCTTAACCAGTGATCTCAGATTAAAGTTTTAAGGAATACTTCAGGCTCTTTTGGACCAGCTCAAAGCCCTTCCTTGGTGGGCTTCCCTGGTAGCAACAGCCCTCCACACTGCAGATGGGAGACGGATCTAGCGACCAATGTAGAAGAAAAAGGAGGGTCCAGGCTGTGTGTCGGCAGTGGGCTCTTCGGGGACCCCAGGAGTTCCCTCCCCACAAAACCAGCAAGAGATGATGGCACTCTTCTCCAATTCCCTAGTAAAGGTAAAGGGACCCCTGACCATTAGGTCCAGTCGTGACCGACTCTGGGGTTGCGGCGCTCATCTTGCTTTATTGGCTGAGGGAGCCGGCGTACAGCTTCCGGGTCATGTGGCCAGCATGACTAAGCCGCTTCTGGCGAACCAGAGCAGCACACGGAAACGCCGTTTACCTTCCCGCCAGAGCGGTACCTATTTATCTACTTGCACTTTGACAGGCTTTCGAACTGCCAGGTTGGCAGGAGCAGGGACTGAGCAATGGGAGCTCACCCCATCATGGGGATTCGACCCGCCGACCTTCTGATCGGCAAGTCCTAGGCTCTGATTTAACCCACGGCGCCACCCACGTCCCTCTCCAATTCCCTAGTGTGGCAATAATTCTCCTAAAGGCAACCTCACTTTTCAGCTAATATTCCACTTCCTCTCGGATCATCACCAGCTGCACGTAAAGCTGCTCAGGACATGACCCTGGCCAACTCCTGGCAACAGCAAAGCAGAGCTCTTTGCTACTGCCTCAGCTCCTCTGCAAGGAAATTCAGAAAACAGGCTGGGCAAGGAGGTCGCCCTTAGAACTTCCTAAACGAGCTTAATTTTGGAACTGTTGAGCCGACCACAATTGCCACGCGGCAAGGATTTTACTACGATTCACTCCTTTTCTTCCTCAGTTGCCCAAACAAGACAACACAAAAACTAGTCTAGAAACCTCCAAAGGTTTGCATTCAATGCTTTCAGCATCTGTAGAAACCGAAGACATTTTCCAGGACGAATGGGGCGTTTAGAGAACTACCATATTTTACACTGCCGTTTTTTGTTTTTTAAAAAAGCTACTTTTTGTCAAGATTCTGATGTGATCTGAAAAGCACTTTGCCCTTTGGGTTCAAATGGGTTGCTCTGCTGATGGGGGAAAGGGTACTCTGTACATGCTCAGAGGCACGCAGCCCATGTCAGACTTAGCAAAAGCAGACGACCATATTCAAAACGCATGTCGAAAGCTTTGGCAAGTTTAAGGAACAGTGAATTGCAGGGGCTGCCAGTCCATGAATACATTGATCATTTGCTTTAACTAACTGGGAACATGTTTCTTCAGCTGCTTTCAGATCCTGTAAGCTTCCATAGAATCATAGAATTGTAGAGACAAGATGTCAAACTGTTCTTCTATGCAACAACAGCGACAAAAGTACTGTTAGCCCAGAAATGGAAGCAAGAAGAAATTCCAACGAAAGAAGAATGGCAGACGAAATTAATGGACTATGCAGAATTGGACAAAATGACAGGAAGGATTCGAAACCTGCGGGACCAGAGATTTACAGAAGATTGGAAGAAGTAGATGAATTATTTGAAGAGCAACTGTCATCAACAAATTACGCTAGTAGGACTACAAGAAGTTTTGTAAGGAGAAATATACAAAGTGTTACAAAGTAGAAAAAGAGAGAGATATTGGTTATGAGTTTGAAATGTAATAGGGAAGAGATGAAATGCATACGGAGAGATTAGATTGGAAAATTTTCAGACAGGACTGATGGAAGGCAAAAAAATTGAATAAGATGCAAAAGTATGTTTAATTACTGTTGAAAATGATATGTTAAAAAACTAATAAAAATTATATATATATTTTTTTGTAGAGGTGGGAGGGACTCCAAGGGTCATCTAGTCCAACCCCCTGCAATCCAGGATTCTCAACTAAAGCATCCATAACAGGTGACCATTCACCCTCTGCTTGAAAACCTCCAGTGAAGGAGAGTCCACCACCTTTCAAGGGAGTCTGTTCCACTGTCAAACAGCTCTTACCACCAGTAAATTATATGTGATATTTAATTGGAATTTACTTTCTTGCAACTTGAAGCCATTGGTTCGAGTCCTACCTTCCAGAGCAGGAGAAAACAAGCTTGCTCCCTCTTCCAAGTGACAGCCCTTTTAGATATTTGAGGATGGCTATCATATCTCCTCGCATTACAGCTCTTATAAAATAAAGAAACTTTTAACATCCCAACATTTCAAATTATTTTATTCCCAGCTGATACAGCTCCTCTCAAAAGATCTCCTTTGCAATTTTTAAAAAAATAAAATAAAAACAGGGTTGGGGATAGGGAAAAAGATATTTTTAAAAACAGGAGGAGGAGAAACGCAATCTTAATTAACAAATGTTGCCTAGACATTGTAAGGACAAGCAAGTGGAACCGACTGCACATTAGGGGAATGCTAATTAAATTTCAGTCGGAAGAACTGGGGCACAGGGTACGACTGAGACGTTGCTTTTCAAAATCCGCTTTTGTCTAAATTTGTGCTGAGTCATTATCATGAGTCTCTGACTAAGCAAGGGGACTGCATTCCTGGGCAAAAGCTCTTTCCAGCAAAAAAAAAGGGGGGAGGGGGGGAGAGAGCTTTGGCTGAGTATGAATTAATTCTGAAAACAGCCCGCATGATTAAACTTGGAAGAACTCAATGGAATTCAGAATTGCTCATACACTACGTGCCAGTTTCTATACCATGGAATAGCAAAATTCCAGCCTTACAAAAAATCCACAAATGAGTGGTGCTAAATTCCGCTCATCTTGCATAATTTAAGAATGAGTGGCGTGTGTATTTCTGGTACACAGCTTGCTCAGAGTATTTGCTCCACATACAACCTGATAAGCCGAGGTTTTGGTTGGCAAATTGTGGGAGAAAAGGTGGAGGAGCGGAACGGGAGAGAGAAGACTGTCTGGCAATTGAGGATGAGACGAAAGGTGGACCTCATGACACATGGCCAATGCACGTTGGGGGTTTCCATTTAGAAAATTTGCACCTAAGGTGGCAGCGAAGGCGAATCATTTCTTAATTTATTTTTAATGCAAATTTATTTGAAGGAAAGAAAATGAAGAAGGAAAAACCTATCAACTTAACAATACAGACATGCCCCCACTTACTCGTGATTGGTGAGTACGTATACCTGCAGTACTGGGAAATCAATAATTCTATTCAAACCTGGAAATGGCGGGAGAGAGCAGGAGAGTTCTCTTGGCTCGTGAGGAGACCCTCCCCGGAGCCCAAAAAGGATGTCAGTGAGGGCAGAGGAAGCTCCGAAGAGACTTGGGCTTTGTTTAGGCTGCTCAGCCTCCCCGCCTAGCAGCCGATTTGCGGGGTAACGCAGCAGCTGTCATGCAGCTGGCCCTGAGCTTCAATTCTAGTTGTGA